CTATAGTTTTAAAAATATTTTTACATTGATATGTAATAGTCTATCTTAATTAGGTTACTCGAGTAAGGCCATATACACGTATGCATTCTAATGATGAGTAAATGATCAGTAATCATGAGTAAAAATTAATCTAAACCACAGTCAGTGTTAGTAATGCGTAGAAACCTTCGGTATAAAAATATGTAGTTTAAAACAAAGCAGCATTTTCTCTAAAAATAACTGAGCAATTCAGAAATTCAGGTTTTTTAACCAAATTATATCTAGAGAAATCTTCACCGAATAATATTCAGAGGAATATCAAGTTTAAGCAATTTAAACTACATTTTAAAGCAGATGTCAAAATCTTGGGAAAAAATGTAGCAAGCAAACTGGACGGAAAGTGTATTTAGGCAATTTAATCTATTTAAAAGTTCCCTAACGCTTGCCTTAAATATCTTAAATCATTTCGTGAGTTACTGTAATTACTGCGATATCAAAACATATGTTCAATATTTTGCAAGCTCAATCATAAAAAAATGTATAAAGAACTTCAATCTGGAAAAATGCAATTGATTTAGTTAAGCTATTTAAGGGGACTCATACACCTTAAAACCCATAAGATGTTCGAATAGGTGACTGTTGCAAGAACTGAGATAACTTATTTATTTTAAAAGCAATTTCTGCCAACTTTTTACAGATGATTACATAATATAGCTGCTTTCTGAAATAGGAATCAGAAAGGTCGTGTTGCCACGAATATTTTTATAATTTAATCCGCTTTGTGACAACATTTTTCGTCATGTTTCCAACTTGCGCGCACAGTTTAAAACATTCTGTTTCAGAATTTAATTCCATATTTAATATATAGCTTTTATAACATTTGGAAACTACTGTGAACCTAAAATTCTAAAAATTTCACGTTAAATTTTTATTTTATTTTGAGTAGAGCTTATAAAATGCATTTTATTAAAAAACATTTGTAATATTTTCGTCCATAAAATTTTTCAATATTAAAATATTCATCAGATTGTTGGTTCCGTTAGAAAATAGTGCCCATATAAAGAATTCCATCAAATTTCAAGTATGTACCACTAGCCATTTTTAAAATATCATGCGCGCAAGGTGGGAACATGGCGAAATATTTTGTCACAAAGAGAATTCAATTACACAAATATTTGTGGCAACACAAACTTTCTGGTTACTAGTTTCCAAAGCAGCTATATTATGTAGTCACCTGTAAAATGTTGGAAGTAATTGCTTTTAAAATGAATAAAATATCCCAATTCTTGCAACAGTCACATATTCGAAGATCATGAGGGGTTTAAAGTGTATGAGTCCCCTTAAATTAGGTAATCCTGTTGAGGAGTATAAGTCTAAGGAGAGATTTCCAAAAAACACCGGTGGACATTTTAATTACACAAGAAAAACAAAAAAAAGTCTATTTCCAAAAGACACCGGTGGACTTATAAGGCCAATGGCCCATTAGCTAAAGTTCAGCTTTAGCTAATGGGCCATTGGCCTTATAAGTCCATTTCTATTAGATATTTCTGCTGCATCTTTAGTATAGTAATAAATACTTTTGTGAACATGCTCTTATAAACTAAACCATATTACCATCTATTAAAGAAATACGGATTTATAAAATATAGAACAGCTTTTTCTCATCTACTAACATTCCGTATTTAAGAACATAATTCACATGACAAGGTGCATAAAATTTCGAAAGACTGCTACATTTTTCACTGCCTGCCCTCTTTTTTTTTATACTGGAATAATCTCTCCGCCATATCTAGACACACTTATATTATCCAGTGCTCAGTTGTTTTGAACTGGTTAAATCCTCTGAGTGATTCATAAGGATGAAAAGAATAAATATTAAAATTAGAAGAGCTTTAGTTTAGGTTCAAAACAAAGCTGAAAAAATTCGAAAACGCATACCTTACATAATTTTATTCAACTTCTTTAGCTTGCACTTTTGAGCTGCCCAAAAGCGTGACAGACAGCCGATTTATATGAAATTTGACACTTATTTCTTTCGCTAGAAGTAGAACTAGACGATGTGAGATAATTTTATAATGTAATTCCTTTTTCAACCGGTCTGAAAATGATATTTTTAGTTTTTCTCTCTTCCAAAAAACTAGGGAAAAAACTTTACAGTACTTAAAAGATCCTCTAAAAGAAACGGAATAATTTTATATATATCCATATTATTTTCACACCATTTCCTTCTGGTTACGTGCCAAAATATAGCATTAAATTGCTTTGAAATCCATAGCCATTGGTAACATATTAGTTACAAACAAGATAAAATCTTATCGATCTTATAATGATAATAATGCTCACTTGTATGTTCATTTATCAAGAGGATGTCCATTTCATCACTATAATTGTATTCGCAAGCTTTGCTTGGTTTGTTAATTATGACAAACTACGTTAGCGTCATTTGCTTAAAGCGTGATGTCTTTTTAGTGAGCCTCCAATGCAATGTGCCATGCAAGCTGTTCAGTCTTACATCTCTGGCTTATGAACTGCAAAAAGTAGAATATGCCTTCAGAGGGCAGTGTTCTGCAAAAAAGAGTAAAAGCATGCGAGTGTACTCCCGCCTGGGGTAAGTGTTGAAAGAGATCTAGAGTTGTGAATTAAAAGCTGTAGTTCCTAACTTTAAAATGTTTTCGAGATTTATTGAGTGTGAATTTTATTAAATCAGCATATCCGGACAGAGCCGGAATTAAAAATGAATCAGCGACATTTAATGGTGAATGCGTGGAAACCAAAACTGTACTTTTCTTCCAACATATTTGTGTTGCGCAACTTGTGTTCGTAATAATGGAAGAAAAGAAATGATTCGTTAAAGTGGGAAATAGCCACGCTAAAGGGTAAAATCACCTGTTTAGGAACATTTAGGGGAATCTGTGACTGAAGCGATAAACGAAGGTATGTATTATAATCAAATTAGTAACTATGAGCACAGTGAAGGGATGTATAGTTGAATTACAAAAGGACTATTTTACATTACTTATAAAAGTGGATATTAGAGAAGCAGAATCATATTTAGAAGAAATGGAAATTAGTCTAGAAAAAATCAAAGTCAGATTAGAAATATTTTTACATAAAATAAATGTGAAACATTCTGTGAAAAGTACTGAGAATGAACAAGTTAAAGTAAGTTGTGGATACTTGCACTAAAATAGCCCAGGATGTAGAGCTTCCAAAATTGAGTTTACCTATATTTCCCGGTAATAATTATGAATGGATAACTTTTAATGATTCATTTAAAGCTGCTGTGCATAATAACGATTATTTTTCAGAAGGACACAAGCTCCAATATTTATTAACAGCAACTAAAGGTGATGTACTCCAAGTCGTAAAATCACTCCCAATTTTCTATCAGATTTATGAAGTCGCTTGCTTACTGTTGGAAGAAAGATTTTCAAACCACAGACAACACGTTTTTTGCTCACATTTATCAATTTACGTTAATCCCAACTATTCACAGTGAATCTACTAGTGTTTTACTAAATTTATTTGATATTATTTTCGAATGTACAAGATCGTTAGAAATTTTAGAAAATAAAATTGATGGGTTTGCTGATACAAAGTTTCTGTATGTTTTGCTACAAAAATTAGATCCGTCGATAAATTTATTGCTTGAACTCGAATTCTGTATACAGAAATAATGTTTCCAAAATGAATTTCTGAAAAATCAAGCAAGAAACCTTAGAAGAGTCTAGATTTTCTAAGAACGCGAACCGAAAGCAGTATTCTAAAGGGACTGTATTGCTAACTAGTGTAAAGTCATCTAAGTGTAGTTTCTGTTTAGATAATCATATTATATATAAGTGTCCTAAATTCCAAGACATACAAGTGAATAATAGCGTTGATTTCCTAAACACGCAAGGATCGCGCTTAACTGTTTTTTAAAATATAGTTGTCTGCTGTACCTTTCCCTGCTGGACATGACGAATGCACTCAAAGAGAATATGCTTAGCATTCTCATCACCGCTAGTATAACTGCAGAAAGCACTTGAAGCAAAAAAAGCCCAATAAAAGTAATCTTATCAGAGTTGGCATAGCTTCGAGAGGCAGAAGCACTTTGTCTTCAGTTCAAAATCTTCGGTTTAATACTCTCTAACATGTTTACATTTCTGCTGAGGTAACGAAAAGGAGACGTTTTAGTAAAAGCTGAAATTACAAATAACTGGTTGACGCAAAAGAATGATACTTTATAAATGGTATACCAGTTGTGCATTACGATAAAAAAATCTTATAGATGTGTTAAATGCGAAAAGAAAGCTATCTGAAAATTAATTTGTAGACATGCTTCAATGGATAAATGTATAACTCTTCGATATTGAGAAAAGTAGAAAACAAAGAATCCGATTTTCATATTTTGAGTAGCAAGAAGTACATTTGAGGCATAGATTCGGAAAACAATAATAATTGCAGCGATGGCGAAAATGACAGTGGAGAGAAAATGTGGAGAACATCCATGCTAATGTCTTGGCCTATTTGGCACACGAGGTTTCCTTGCCGGAAGGGAGGAATGTCTTCCGTCGACTACCTTTTAAGGAAAACTGGTGAGTTTCACATGGAGGAAACCATAAAAATTTCCATGCAACCAACCCATTTGTCAGCATGAAAGTCCGGGTCGAGCTACCATTATTCAGAGGCTTAGCCACAAGTAGGTTTCGACAACCTAGTTTTCACCACTAACCTAGTCTTCGATTATTAGAGGTGATTACGGTCCCGTTTCCCTCGGATGATCCAGGTTCTACATTACAATTTTTTAAAAATTTTAATACACCATGTTACACAAGAAAACCACATAAGTCCAAAAGTTTCGAAGGAGACAAGTCTCAATATAAGAAATGTTCTGAAATAAATATAGCAGATATGCAGGTAAATAAATCGCACGTTCAGTTTGAATCATTATCCGTAAGTCTAGGTTTAATATTAAGCTTAAAAGTATGAGATTTTTAGTACATTTTCTATAAATAATACTATTAGTATACTGTTCTTACCTATAGGAGTTAAAACAGGGCCTTGGCGAACAATCCCATCGTAAGTAAGTGGGTTATCGTGATCGTCTAAAAGATGATGCTGAGATGCAACGCCAGGAGTTGTGCCTTGACGATGAAGCTTTGGAATAAGACTTAGCCAAAAGGAAAGTCTGTGAGCATGATAATGGTCCTTAATTTTTGGCTTCATGGCTGAAAAAGGGGAAGGATTAATGAGATATAGCTGCAAAACTGTGCATAAGATGCGTAAAATTCAATTCTTGCACTATTTAAAAGCAATTTATAGCATAATGCATTTATTAAAATATCTGACGAGACATATTCGAATAAGTGCCATTTGTTTTTACTAATCATAGCATGAAACGGCCTATGTATGAATAACTAGTAATATATATTACCAATACTAAGAAATACACGGAAAATTTAGCAAAATGCGTGCTTAAGGGATTTGAAATATGATCTGAGCAATTACCTGTGCCATAAAAAAGACGATCTCAAACAATATTTATATTATTTTGCACATTACAGCAGAGAGAGAAAAACATCGATTATTCTTTGAAAAATTTCCCCTTTTCTGACCAGAAAAGCACGTAAACATTTAGCAAAAACACTGAGTGATATGGCTACGCAATTTGATGAATATTTAGCAGAGTGCTTGTTAAACCTTTCATTTATTATTTAGTAAACTCTTTATCCCCAATATCGTGTGGCTTTTGAACTTAATTTTCATATTTATATGCATTATGCTGTAAGATTCTAACTTGTGAACTTTTAAGTTACAGTTAAAGTTGAAGAACCTTAAGAAATGGTAAGCGAATAATCGCTTGAGTTCGTGAGAAAGAGAACAAAACATAAGAAGGGTGAAACAACCTTTTATTACTCCAATAAAGTTTTAACAGACGACTCCTTTCTTGGAGTTACAATAAAGCCTCCACTCAAGCTTGATCTCAGGAAACTAAGAACTAAAACTTAACTAATCTAACTAAAATGATTTAGCTGAAGCTATCAAGATTTTAACAGAGTTGGCCCCTTAACGCTAATTAACGGCGAAGCTATCGAGGGCCTAAAGCACGGCCGAGCGTAGTAATAGCTTAAGAGAGAGAGTAGCCTAAAAAGGCGTACGCGCGCTATTCAGATTCACTAGCTCTCTAACGAAGTTAGTAGAACTGCACATTAAAATACTTCTCCTCATTTGCATACAAAGACGATTCGAAACATACGTTCTGACCGAAAGTTATAAGCTTGAAATTAGGAAGAGATGGGAAAGTAACTTTAACTCAAAATTTAACTGTTAGATAAATAAAGATAATCCTTACAATGTTATACAGTTTTTGAGAAACTAAAATATAGCTTATTTGAAAGAAATGTAAATTTATGCTCCCAAACCAATAAGAAACAATCAAAAGTTAAATGTTTATTTAATATTTATCTTTAACTGTGCTTTGAAACTGCTACAAAATAAAATTTAAATACGTCTGACATTTCTGCCTGAGGTAGATTTCTGCATTAAACTGAGAAAATGTGAATCTACTTCTAAATATATCCTTGTGAGTTTTCGATCTGTTTCGAAATAAATTTACTTTAGTCATCCAGTTTCGATTACTTTCGATGTTCGTTTACTTGCACACACATTTAGTTACATTTCGCTAGATACCAAATTTTCAGTAAGTAGTTTGCACACAAGTTAAATTAGCATTCTGCGAATCGAGTTTTAGTGCGAGGGTTTACGTTTCTCCTGTCACTTATATCATTCTAAGTCCATATGTCCCTCGCTAGCCTAAGGCAATTCTGACAGGTTAAGTACTGCATGATTTGTTACTCTCAGTTGCTCCTTCGCTTGTCGCACGCAGAGTAGTGGTATGTTCTGTGCTCAAAATATTCGGGGAATTTCACAGTACAATAGAACTTCTGTAAACTAGCTTCTATAAACCGAAGTCTCTGTTATCCGAGCCAGCAATCAGTTTTAAAAACTCCTTAAGAAAATGTAATATCATTAAGATGAATACAACGCAGAATGAATTCGTAGACTGGTTTAAAGAAATAAAAAGAGAAGAAGGGCATTGCTAAAAATGATGCTTTGAAATTATAATGCTGAAAATAGCGAAATGAGTTCTCAAGATTTGAAAAATGAAGAAATCATTCGTGCCCTGGATTCAGAGAAAAATACGAGGGCTGTTTCTTACGTAAGTTCTCTTTTGCAATTAAAAAAAATCACCTTCTGAATTTATATATTATTCTTTATTTTTCTGCATAATTACTTTGTCAGTTTAAGCATTTATCTAAACGAACAACAAATGTCTGCATACATTCCACTCAGAACTCTGCTGCCTGTGATGACAGCCAATTATTAACGGTAAGTTTCACTTCTACATTAGTGTTTCGAGGTCTTATGAAATATCTCACCCATTTTCTCACTTTACTGTCACTCACTGCGTTGTCAACGTATACTTCATATACCTGGCTATGAATATCCGCGGCTTTCATGTTTCTCGCTGTTAAGAACCAGGTGACTGACATTGTTTCACAATCGGTGAGTTGCTCAACTCTCTTCAACAGTTTAATCTAACACTATGAAGAGCACAGAAAGAAGCAGTGAATGAAAGAGGTATCGAGTACTTCACAAAGAATGCTGAGAACCTGCGAGCTCTCTTATTCTCGTGTGCACTCACCAAATTCCAAACAATGATCACAAGCAAAACTTACTTAAAAAAAAAATCTCCGTAAAAATTGCAGTGATGGAAATGATGTTAAGTAAGGTGATGAAATGGAAATTGTTATTGTAAAAAGTAGCCATGCTTAATAAAGAAGTTTTATAAAGAAATTAAAAAAACTCGTAAAAAAGAAAATTTTGATGCTTTTCTTATGAAATTTTATTAGTCAAAAATTGACGTTATCGTCTATTGTCTGATAGAGTAAGAGTACTATCATAAAAGAATAACGGATTTCTTTTTAAAATTGTCTCATAAAATGCGTGTATGAAATTTGACAAATTTCTGCGATTTGCGTAAATTTTGATAGAGTTTGTTTATAACAGGTTTTCAATGAATATTTTTGTTTCGAAATAAAATCTTGAATGGGTTACTTGGTTAATAGAAGAAAATACATTTTATTTACGAATAAAATAATTCGTTAGAACATATTTTAAAAGACCTTGTGGATAGAAAATTTGGCGTGATTTAAAATTTAGCGTTTCCTAACCGAGTTTTTGATTCTCTGAAGTGGTTATAGTCTCAGTTATCTCTGATAATCAAGGCTCTATTGCACCTATAACTTCAAATTATTAGGATTAAGGAAAAGTATTATATATAAACGTAAGGTGCTAAGGAAAGTTATTTTAAATTATCGTAAATATAAATAAATAAACGCAAAGAAAGTGAGTTTTGAAAAATCCTCGAGCATTCAAATATTACTTATGCTACTAAATCTGCTGCTCAAAGCTAAATGAATTTAAAAAGAAATTGTTTATATTTAAAAATTATTTTAACGACATAACGTATGTGTGTCACACCTGAAACTGGTATGAGTACCTCAGTCCAAATACTTCCTTAACTTACTATTTAAGCTAAAACAGCATTATTTTCAAATAGATTAAGCTGCAGTTAGCAGTTATTTACTAACATTTTGAGCTCAAGGTACACTGAATAAGACGCTAAATATTACTGAATCCTAGCATCACTTCTTTGAAAAAATATTTTACTTAAAAATTATTAATAAAATTGCGTTTAAAAGTAACTAGTTAAAATTTTATCCATCATAATCATTTTTATTATAATGCTTAACCTAAGGATTGAAACATATAAATAGTATGAACGCATATTCTAGAAATAGCAATAATGTCAAGAAATATGCCTTCCCACTTCCTTATAGGCATAGACCACAGGCAAACATAGCAGAAAGAGTTAATAAAAATATTGTAAAAATAATTCGAAGTTATGTTAGCACACATCACAAGCGCTGGGATGGCTACTTAAATGAGTTAGCTTATGGCTTTAAGAACAGCAAATCATGATACTACGGGAAAAACTCCAGCAGAATTATTTTTAGGACGGAAGTTAATTACGCCAATTAGATAAATTATTCTTTGTGCAACAAAGAGAGCATTAGAATTCAAACAAAAAGATGTGCAGAAACTTCATTGACCAGGCGGTTAAAAGCTCGGATACGGCAAGAAATAGACAGAAACTTGTACTATGATCGGAAAACGCCTGTGAAGCAGATTTTAAAGTTGGGGATAAAGTGTTGAAGCGGAAATTTTCTTTATCAAGTGCCCCAGACAATTTCGCTGCAAAAGTTGGCTCCGAAATTTGAAGGCCCCTATGTAATTCAGAAAATCAAGGGAGTCGTATTGTACCTTAATAACGAGAGAAGGGAAATCTGTAAAGCAAGTCCCGACCAGGTGAAAAATATATATAATCAAAATGATTTTTGAAATCCTTAAAAGTTTCTGCAGGACTCAAGCGTAAAAGAAGTAGAAGGTGCAGAAGTAACGTCACCCGCTCCACCACCCAAGAAGCAGAGAACTGAAGAGAAACCTAGCCCTGCTACAAGTCATGCGACGGTACCGAAAAGAAGAAATGAAAACGTTCAGACTCCAGCATTTAAGAAATACAAGAAAGCAACGCCGCCGCGTAAAGAAACTTTGGTAAAGAGGAAAAGACCACTTACAACGTATCGCAGTAGAAATTCTGCATCGATGAAAACGCTTCCAGGGCCAGAGTGTCAGGTGCAAACAAGGCCGCCGTTCCCGAGAACGAAAAGACAGCAGGAGGAACGAAAAGAGTGCCACCACCAACAGAAGAAATTCAAGCACGATTTCCAGACCGGAGGACGCCAAGACCAGCCGTCCAGGGGCAAAACGGAAAAGACAGGCAACCCGAACGACTACCACCTCCAAGAGGCCAGCATACAGAGGGCGAAAAAGGAAAATCAACATGGAGGAAACTCGAAGGACACAAAGGAGAGACTTGACTTCCGATGAATTCTGTAATCTTGGGAGCAAGTTCTGCCAGAAGAGGATGTCGGAGTTCCAATCATCGAAAACTCAAAGATAAGTTAAAATCTTCTATAAATTTTTTTTTCTTTGTTCCGAAATGTTATGCGTAAATACGAAGTTCTATGTGTTGACGGAATTCAATTTGTCTCGGTTGAGACTTAGTTTTGTTTTACTGTATTTAGCTAAGCAAAAGTAAAAGCATTATTTTCTTTAAGTGTAAAATCTAAGAACAAGCAGTTTCATGTTGGTCGGAAGACTAATTCTGTTATGTTAAAGCCAAAATTTTGGCCGAATGATAAAATAATAACTTCGTATCTTGTATTAATGGAAAACTTTAGTTTCAGTGCCGCCAGCTTGGCGAAGAATGAGTAAAGTAAAAATTTATTTTTCTCTTATTCATTTTATGGTAAATTGTAAAAATCATATGGATTAGAATTTTGTAAATATACGTAAATACTTGAAAGTTATGTAAAAGTAGAATTTAGTCTAGAAGCATAAAATTTTAGATGCTAAAAGTAAATGCTCAAAAGAAATGAATTCAAATTTAAGTATTAAACTGTAGATAAAATCATGCTTTAGAGCGAAAGCCTGCATGTCTAAAGATGAATGAGGGGGAATTTAGAATGAATGTGTTTTGTAGGGGGTTCTCCACCTACACTTGAATTTTAAGAATGTTAAATAGCTCATCGAGTTTTAGAATGTCGAGAAAGGTGTGTCTATTTGGTGGTTGAATTTTAACAAATCATTGTGGTTAGGGGAACTGTTGCAATACTAAAACACGAATCTTCCCGTTTGACACCACACATGGTGGAGAGCCAGGGTAAAGTTAAATTCATGTTTGAATACTTGAATGAATGTGAATTAAGCAGTAACTAAGGAAAATAAATCTATCAAAAACAAAAACTTATTCAGTGTCAAGAAAGTGTAAATTATAATGTATTTAGAAAGATACTGATACTTATTCCTTCCAGATGCTGGAAGGAAGAGAACAGATTGATTGCTGAAGTCCAGGAAAGGTTGATGTAAGAAGAGAGGGAATTAAATAAGTATCTACAGAAATTTATTCTAACTTTTGTGAGAAAACAGTTTTTTTATGTAAACGAGGCTCTTAAATTTTAGTTCAGAATTGTGGAAACTTTTCAACAGGTCGTTTCTAGGACCTGCTTCCAAGTTTACCAAATTCTCGCAGCGGCAAATGTAGGGTTTATATTTATTTTAACTAACATTTATTTTAAGTTTAAACTATCTATAAGTGACGGCTTCAGTGACTACACTGTCCGCTCAACATATTTGCTTCGTAATTAGCATAATCTTCATAATTATCATAATAAACTGCAAATAAAACCATTTCAGAGCTACTTACACTAAATCTTTTTGCATTTTTTAATTTTAAATATTTTGTTTTTAAAATAAATATTGTAACGCTTCAGTCTATCATGTCTGGGAGTTGCTGCAGAAAACACATATTTTTTTCCTCATGTACAATTTAATAGCTTATTTGTTGAACATTGGAAATTTCTGATGTTTCTGCTTTTTATAAATTTGTTTTCTCGAATCGGTTTCGGTAATCTGTAGAATATATCATTATATACGGCCCTGTTTACAAAATTCTTTACTCGAATTTTATTTTCGCGATCATCAATTGTAGACATATACTTCCAATTAAAAACTGCTTCAAATGAAGGAAATATTCATATTTTGGTAATTTAAAATTAAAAAAAAGGAAAGCTACGAAGTCTAACATTTTATACGGTCTCCCTGTCATTATGTCGTTATACTGACTTCTAAAAATTTTAATGTTCATTATGAAAAGAGCAATATCAAAACTGTGGCTCCGGTGCGACAAAAACTGACCGAAATATTTATTTTTAAAGTTGAACATCATGTTGTGTACACAAATTCAAGAGCGAAATGTTTGCATTTGTATTTAATTAAAAATAAAATATTAGTTAGGAAAAATATCTGATTATGACATATTGAATAACTAGCATAACTGTGCATATTACCTTGACAAGTATTTATCAGAATATTTTTTCAGACAACAAATCTTATTAAAAATACCTTACAGTATTCTTGTTCTAGATGTTACTGGCAGGTTTCAGTACTGTCATACTGCCAGCTTATAATCTTATTCGGATAATCTAAAAATTAAAAATATTTATAGTTTAATGAATTTTTTGTATGAATTTCAGATTAGGATTTCAAAGTGACTAAACTGCATAAGTATATTAATATGTATATCTAATGTTTCAAAACTTATAAATTACTTGTGTGAAAATTCGTTTGGCATACCATTTCAACAAAATAAATAAATTAAAGAATATTTCACACAAGTAAATCATAAAAGATTACCTGTGAATGAAACTTAAATGAAAAAGTCAATCATCTCGAAGTATTCCAAATTATTTATTAACGGCCACATAAAGACAGGTTGAAAAGGACGTCAAAAATCTCAAACTTTGCAGTGAAATCTATTGGTCAATTTTTGTCTGACTGCAATGAATGAGTAACATTTTCTTAGTTTTTTACTTTTTGTAATGATTATAACATTTCCTTAAATAGGGACCGTGAAAATGTACAGATGATTAGATTTCGTATTTTATACAAAATTAAAAGTTTAAAAATACAAAAAGAATCTTTGCATAATTGATAAAGCATTTTTGTGGTTGGAAGTAAATATCTACGAACCAATGATTGAAAAAATAAAAGCCGGGTAAGAACTTCTGTGGAGACGGTGTGTAGATACAGTGGGATACCGATACGGACAGGGTGTAATTTTGTATGTCTCTAATTGCTAAATGGTAATACAATTTAATTTTGTAAATGTACATGTTTGTTATATTATTCGGTTAAAGCATGTAACGTAGAATTTTTACTTACCTAATGAGAGATACTGCTGACCCACACTGTCATACAAAGGCCAAACAAACCTTTCGAATCTTCCTCTAGCTTTCTCAGGATTTTCCAAGTCATGCACAACGTTTGGATCCCTGAAGTTGATGAATACAAATATTTAACTATTAAATATATTTTGCAAATTTTAATTGTTAATCAAAAAAAAATAATTAAACATATTGTAACACCATCAATTTTTAAGTGTTTTGATTATACACTAAATAAATATTACGAAATGATATACATTAGCAACATATGTACCCCACTGAGGGACAGCTGTCTTAATCAATATTTATCTAAAAAAACTTCTATTTGCATTAGTGGAGTACATACGCTGCTTACTAATAAACATTTCTCACTTTTGATCACATTTTAAGACACACTAAAAACTCAATAATTTAAGATACTAAAACTTATGTTTTTTTCTATATAAAACCGATAAAAATGTATGAAAAAAGATTAAAATATTCATAAAAAATTAAAACCTGTTTTCAAACTTTGTTTTACATAGCATTTTAAGGTACACTTAAAAATATGAAATTACGACTCTGTAAAAGATTTAAGAGATTGAAATTAATACTAAAAAAAGGTTAAAATATTTATAAAAATAATATACACCTGAAGTAAAAAAAAGTAGAAATAAATGCTGAAAAATGTAGGGTTTCCCTTAGTATGAATAGGTTATAACTTTTTAATTAATTTTTCCTTCTTGTAAATTTACGATTAACGGGTTTATTTCGTGTATATTCGTCTTGTGTATGTTAAAATTCTTCAATACCTTTTTGGGGGGTAATCCTGTTTTCCTATTTAATTCGTAATGTATATTTTAATTTTATAACAGTTATTTTAATAAGTGTGCTTTCCTATCGATTCTTACTTCCTCTTACAACTCCCTACCAGAATGAGTTTTTAAAATCGGGTTGAAAGCAAATTAGTTAAAAGTAGTATTAAAGGAAGGTTCAACTTACTTGAGAGGGAGAGATAGGAATCCTGAGTAGCACGCGCTTACCTTCGGGATAAGTCTCTCTTGAAGCTGTTACGCTCGACCGCATATTACGTGCCTTTTGATATTCGCCGGCTAGTTAAAATTACGGGCCAACTACGTTAGATTTGTGTTAGCTTCAGCTAAGTCGCTGTTAGTTAGTTCTAATTTAGTTCTTATTCCTTATTTCGAGTTAAATTCCGAGTGGAGGCTTTGATGTAAACCCAAGAAAGGGGCCAACAGTTCATCTTACTTTGAGCGAAATAGAAGGGTAGTTAACCCTTTTTGAGTCTATGACTTCTGTTATTTGAACTTAGCGATAAACGCTTAACAGTTCAAAAGGTTCCTGGGCATTTACTTTATCAAAATAAGAGTGAGGAACTCTACAAATTGATTAATTCGACAATATCCGTTTCCTGGATTAGAATATGATTCTTTCAGGAGTTCTTCATTCTTAAAAAAGTAAGCATTTTATTTCCACATTCTACAGAATTTCCATTTTCCATTTTTTTCTCAATTTTTAGTAGAAGTTTCATAATAATCTTTAGTTTCCTATTTCTTTTTACATGAGACGCAATGAATTAACATTTCCTTATCTATTAAGGGCAAATATTCCTCCATACCGAACGCCTTTTTAGCTTCCATAATAGGTTTAATAATAGTTCTGCCTATTATTTCTCCTATATTTGGATTCCAATTTCATCTAAATCATCTAATAATTCTTGATCTACTGTATGTCTTTGTTTTGTAATTGTTGTTTTACTATACGTTATATCATGTTCTTTACAAGCTTTATCAACTATATTTTTATTCCAGGATCTCTTCTTTTTAATTAATATTCTAGTTGCGTAAATGGGCCACACTGTTAATAATCTGGTAAATGCATTTCCGGACGATTTATTTTATCTTGTAACAATCCTACAATATTACAGCCTTGCACTTATTAAACTTTATCCATTAACTTCTTTAAAAAAATAAATATATTTTTACAAACCATTTAATATAGACGAAATTTGCGACTTTAAGAATAATATTTATAACCCTTAAATTACATTTGTTTTGCGTATTTTACAACAGCATCGCATTTTAAATTTTTTACAATATATTTTTCTCTTTTATACATTTCTTCTTCAGAAATTTCTTTTGGTTCTTTCGGTTCTATATCTTCATTTCTGTCCTCTGCTTTTATGATAGGATTAAATCAACGACTTCTAATATTCCGACTGATTAGATTAAAAAAACCAAGCGGAAAAATGCAGTTGCGTATAAACCTGCACCGCTGATAATAATCTTACTTCCTAATAAGGAAATGCTTACATTTTGATAGCGAAAAGAAGCCACAGAACCGTATTATTTATATATGAAATCAAATTACTTCGATATTTCATTTTTGGCTTAAATCTAACGTAAAAATAATATGGTGTTTGTATACAATTCTTATGGAATTGTTCAAGCCCACCCATTTCTCTCATAATCTGTTGAAATTCTTTTCGTAGAAGCTTAAAAATATGAAATAATTGCTGTTATTTCTTATACGTATAGATGTTGAATTTTCGTTATACATATATAAAGGATGCATTTTTTTATTCTGCCCATGATTAAAAAAATCTATAGTATTTTCCTGGTTTTCCTCACTTATACATTTATCAATAATAGTTAAATTTTTAATTGATGAATCTGATTCATCTAGAGTAATAATATCATTTAAATTTGACGTAAGTTTTACATCTTTCTTTTTAAATTTGTCATATAATTTTAATAATTGTTTCTAATTTTCCCCTGAACAGCTTATAATAGTTTCTTTTTTTATATTTTAGAACATAGTATAATTTTCTTGTAATTCATCGTATTTTGAATCACATAATTGTCTTGCGCATATAATGCGCCAAATTATTTCTACCTATCCTGGTGGACCTGTAATTAAGAGACTAAAAGGCCATTTTAATAATAAAAGATGTTGATTTCAAATTCATTAGTTTCAGTGTTTTTTCATTCTAGTGTACTATATGTAAAAATGAATTTACTATAAATGAATTCTATTTCACTATAAGCAAAATTCCGTTTAAATAAAGTAATGAAATAGAAAGGAAAGAAAATTTAGGAAAAAAAGGCATTTAGAAAATGTTATTAAACTGACGAAATTACAAACTGAAATTTAAAAAAAAAAAAATATGACGATCAAAAAACAGAAAAATTCAGTATTAAAAATTTGAGGAGTTTCATAAACCTGTTACTAAACAAAAAGGGAAAATGAATATTCAGGTAAAGATGTAGAAAATATTCAATATACTATATAAAACATATAATTTCCTTCGTTACCGTTTGAAGCGTCACCTTTCTGTCTGAATCTTCAAGAAATTAATTCAGTTGGATTAGGCGGATAATTTGGAAAACATAATTCAAGAAAAGATTACGACAGGTCTCAAACTATGAAAAAAATTCATTCATTTGATTTTGATAAAACTTTAGATAAACATCTTTTTTAAAGTCAAAACTTTAAATTACCTAATAAATTAAACGAAGAAAGTTTTGTGACAATAAACGATTTAATTGAAAAGATAATAAAAGATTAGGCTGCAATAGATGCAAGATCCTCAGAATCGGCAAAATCTAAGTTACAAATATAAGATGTAAAATCATATCATAACTCACTTTTAAAATTAAATAAACATACATTAGATCAATTTAAACATTATATGGATGATTTAGGACACATTCTTCCTTACCACTAAAAAAAACTATGAATAGGCTATCAGTTAGATATTTAAAAAAAATATCTGATTAAATATGTGAAGGAAGTAAACCTAAGAAATTATATAAACACATTTTACATTATTAAACACATTAAATAAAAGCGTTGTTATATCTAATGAAGAAATAAAACATTATTATGATATATTTTCGTCCTTAATAAAGGAGCAATTGTATAAAAAGCGAAGTTTATTTGAGTGATGGACAGATTAAGTAAATTAAAATCTGCTTAGAATAAAAAAGAGAAAATAAGATTACAGATTGAAAAAATTAAAACTTCTGATTATGATTTAAATTTAATTGAATCATCATTTAATAAAATCCATAATGGAAAAAGAATTACAATAAATAAAACTCAGATATCTAAGAGCAAAGTTCTCGCTATTAAACCAAATATCAAATCGAAGCAATGTGGGGCGTTATATAAAGATATTTCAAATTAAAAATAAAAGCAGAAATTCTTATTCCAGTTATGATACTTTTAAAGCCAAAATATCGTCAAATACTTAAAACATTAAAACATTGGGTATTCGGATCCAAAAGATTTTCATACCCAAATATTAAAAAATTCTATTTCAGAGGAAATCCAGTATTTATCAAAACTTTAGATAATTTAAACAAAGAACAACCAGAGGTATTTGGAGTCTTTTCTACCTTTTTTGTTACTTATTTTAACGTTATTAGTAATAGTAGCTATAAGCGATAATTGGGATTATGGGTATCATATGGGATTCAAAAAGCCTTAGGAAAAGGTCTAGCAGCTTCGCTATCTAGGCTGCCACCTTAGAAAAACTTTGAAAGTGAGTATATCAATCATATGAATTTCAGGACCAATAACTGAAGAAAATATGAAAAATGAAGAATGATTTAGTGGCGTTTATACGTCAGGTAAATTAACTCAAAAGATTAAATACTTTGAAAATTGAATTATTAATTGAAATGTATCTAAAGGTCCTGGGACTCACTTGGTTTCTTATTATAACGATCCTAAAATATAAAGATGTAGAATATTTTGATCATTTTGGTGAATATAAATTGACTAAAATGAAACTTAAAAAAAAATAAATAAATAAAATAAAAAAAAAAGAGCGGGTTATTTCTGATAATATTTTGAATTTTCTGAATTTATCTAATAAAAATATTTATGTTGCATATGATGATGCTTTTTTACAACATCCTGCTTCTGTAAAATGTGGTTTTTATTGTAGGAAATATACTTTTGAAAGAAATAAATTAATTCACCAAAGAAAGTACTTGAATCTTCAACAGAATTTCCTAGCTAACATAACGAAAATTTAGTTATTAGCCCATACCTTTCACCCCCTTTCCTTAATAAATATAAGTTTTTGAAAGATGTTAAGT